TAGAAAAAGGTTCTAGATGTTAAATTTAATGTTAGTAGAAAAGTATAATACATATATTAATGAGTTATAGTACTCATATTTTTTTTTGTATAATCAGTTGCAAAGACTTCCGGTTCTATTTTAGATAGTACATAAATTAGAGCGTGATATAAGATGAAAGAGCCAGTTATAAATCACCGCAAAGATTTAGTACTTTATTTTATTTTTAGCTATCATTTAGATCAGTGAATATCCATTTTGCGACTATTCCTCGCATAACGAGTATTTCGCTTATTCCTATGTATATACAATTAGAACTGCGAGGAAATAGTGTAATTAACTGATCATTAATATTGTATATTTAAGCAAAATCCTGTTGTTCGTGTTAATTTTTAAATTGCAAAAATATTGCTTATTTTAATAAACATAAGCAGATATGTTTGCAAGTAAAGATGATGCATATTAAACATTTAAAAAAAATATTCATGTTTTTATATTAAAAAAAAGTGTATGTTAAGTATATACGTTGCCGTGAATAAGGAACAAGAAAAATAATTAGATGTCTTGGTGGTAAGTGGCACTTGAAATGGAAGCAACTGACTTCAGTTTCAAGCTAAATTACACTAATTAAGCCAGAATTGCAACAATGAGCTGTATTATGTATATTTATTAAGGTCGACTCAAGAAACGATTTACTAATTTAAAACAAACTATATCCCAAAAAATACAGGAGTTAAACAGGTCGTACAAGTAGATCTAATAGATTGTCATTGATAATTAATAATTAATATAACCATTTTTTTTTAATAAATCCTATATTTTATTTCATTTAAAATTAATTCGATTATTATTAAGATTAATAAGTAAAATAAATAGTATTATTAAAAATGTTGATTATACTTTAGTTTCTTTAATATTCAGACCATGCTATACGAAAAGCGTGTTATAAAATTATATGTAGATATGATTTTGTTGTATATCAATATCATTTACTCAATTGTTGAATTGTATACTTATTGTGAAAGTAACATTCTTTGGTTTTATATACCGCAATAGCTATGCTTGCAGTACAATAAAAAAAAGTATGACTTGTCACGGATAGACTTTAATACTTTTGTATTCTTTGTTAAAAGTGTACTGTACCTATCTATTGTAGTACCTAATACTTTTCCTGTGAATTACCTGATTTCAATAGATACAAATTTGTTAATGTGCTTAGAATTTTGACTTATTGAATCTAATTCCCAGTATACTATTCAGCTTGAGAATTATTATTGGAATCATTTTCCATGAAAAGGTATTTAATAATGCCTATGTCAACGGCCAGCAATGTGTATTGTGTATTTGAAAAGGCCACCTTCGACAAATTTATAGTTTTCCTTGTAAAATATAATTATATTTGCAGAGCTTGTACTTGGAAATTTCTTGGAACTAATCAGCAGAAATAAGTATAAAAGTGCATTGTAATCGGTTCGTGTAAAAAGTGCAATCACAAAGAAGAGTACAATGGCAATAAACAATACAATAGTAAAATAATGGAAAATAGAAGGAAGGGTAAAAATGTGGTCGGAATAAAACACGAACGAAATGTCGCTTGAAATGTCCCTTTCTCCATCCATTGATAAATACTTCTTTCTAATACACGTAGCATTGTGTTTTCCCGCAGACAAATAAATTATTGGCGTGCAAGAGAAACCGGGCATTAATCGTGAAATAAAACACACTTATGCATGATTGAGTAATTCCGTAAAGGCGTTCACCTTTTCGCGCACAAACGGCTCTCGTGGAGCAGCGACTTGCAAAAAAAAAGATTGGTAAAGCCGAAGAACGATACGAAGCAGCGATTTCCTTCCTTTGCGAGTCGCACCTTTTCTTTTGCATTCTCCCTCTATCGCTCCTTTTCTTCATTCCGATAGCTGATATTGCGAATGGGAAAAGAAATGACCACCGAATGAAGGAAGGAAAAATAATAGTAATAATAGAAGAAGTGTAATAATCATTTCATTTCTCATAGCTCAACCTCGACTGCAGATGGTGAGCTTTCTCTCATTTTCGCTCTCCCCCTTTTTCAGATCGCGGGTCATCATCATCGTAATAATATCGTGCTTCGAGTTGTTTGCGCCTCCTCCTCCTGCTGCTGCCGAGGAATAAATAATGGCGTTATCTTCACGTGATGCGGCACAATTAAACAAACCGGAAACTATACACCATATACTACACTCGCACAATATCAACTGCCATCAATAACGAAATAACACGAAAGAAGCATTGAAAGATAATTTCGAAAGGTACAAAGGACCCCAGCTTTGATACCGGCTACCACTAAAAATAGCCATGATTTATAACGTGGAAGTGGAATTAAGATCTCACGAATGATTAATTTTAGTGTGCTTTGCTGAATAAATTCAGATAACTGGCCGTTGATATCCAACGGAGGTGGTGATTGAGAATAAATTTAAGACACTAAACTATTCATTAATAAACAATATGTCCAATTCCAGCAAATTGTATAATCAATTCTTTTATCAGTGCAACTCTTTAAAATTAAACAAGCATAAGTTAAAAACGAATTTATTTATTTTGTTATAATTAATTTTTAATTCATACTTTTTTTTTTAAATTACTTATATAATTTATGATTGACACAATAAGTGTTGTTATTAAAAATTCAAAGCAAAGTAATAAAAATAACAAAAAAAACTTTAAAAATTAAGAAAGATTTGTGATGTTCTAAAATGTTATATTTTCATTACACTGTGTATATACTGTATAGAGCAATAACTTTTGAATAAAATAATGCAGAACTGAACCGTGATAAATCGAGCTTTTCTTTATACAACATTTTTCACCTGCAATCGTTTTATTTTTCATTCATGCTTCAATAACACTTCAAACATAAATTACTATCACGTGTAAATGGAATTTAACACTAATCTTTGCCGGTTGATTTATAGCCCAGGTATAAATCGAAGTGCTCTAGTCTAGTTAGAAGTTTTAAGAGTTTACCGCACTTCGGGGAAAAAGACAAAAGTAAAAAACATGTAGGAAGAATATTTGAAATGTTCCTACAAATTTCAATGGAACATTATTTCATGGATAATAGTAGATAATCATAAATCCGTCTGTTGGAGTGAAATAAATACGGAAAGAGTTATATTAGTTTTTTTAGATGCATTATTATCCAAGGTATGTCTGTTTATTGGGTAGGAAAGATTAACTGTATTCGTCGTGAACAATAGTTGAATGGGTGATCACTGCTAATTGCCAACCCCGAATACATTTTAAATGCTAAATAATTAAAATTCTATCATTTTGATATAAAATATTTGACACAAAACAGTTCTCTATGTGTTACATTTAATGTATGTTAATGTAGTAGAAATTTTTAATAGAAGGTTTTATCACAAATAAAACTTTACGAAACTTGAACTGAATACAGATTATATTATGAATGTAAACATTTCAAATAAGAGTTTAAAGTAATCGTAATAATTTGTATAGTGCAATGGATTACATCATACCTCTATAAATAATCATAAGTAATGCGAGGCAAATATTGATTTAAAGTGGAAATGAAAAAACGTACTGGAATATTGAATGTCGTCGGTCGTTCGTTCGTAGAACGCAGTATGTGTACAGACCGTATACATATATGCATTCGCAGTCAACAATGTTTGTGTCCTGTGCTGCAATAATACTTAAGAAATCCATTAGACTGGATATCAAAACATATTTAACGAGATTAATAGAAATTACGAGCGAGTCGGCGTTTGCTGCTGTCGTTGTTGTCGTCGTTGGTAGTGGACGGTGGTTGTGTGTGGTTATTTGATGCAACCACGCAGAGCACAATGTGACGCATTCTGATTTATAGTCGCAGTGTCATCGTGCGTAAACTAATGATTGCTTCGGTGCAATTTGTCTTTGGCTCTGTTTTATCATAGTGGCTTTTTGATCGCCACTTATCCATCCTTCCCTGGCGCCGGAAGCTTACGTTTTCATCTCGTTCCGACTTAATTTATTACTCGACTGTCAAACACCACAAAAAAAATCATCAAGAATTCTATGATCTTCGTTCACAACACAAGAAAAAAGCTTAGAGAAATGTGGATATTTCTTTAAAAAAATAATACGAAGTAAATAAAAAGTTTGCGAATGATTAATAGACTGTTTTTAGCACGTCCGATATTAAATCAGTACTGATATGTATTTATAGATATAATTGCATCAATATGTTTGAAATTCCAAAACACAGAATTTATAAAATCCAAGATAAATATTTTAATTTGCAAACTAATTTCAAGTTGGTTTTAATTCAAACGAAGCTATAATAAAATTAAATAGCATTTGGCTAGTAAATTTATTGTGTAAAATTTAATTGTATATTTTAAACAAATAAGAAAATTCAATATTTTAAAATATTTTTTAAATTATGCACATCATCTGTATGTCTATTAATAGTCAAATATTAAACAAAAAATGTTATTTTTCTTATTTCCATGTGTATTTTGAAACCAACGTCATGATTAAAATGTTAGATGTAGTGTAATAAAAAATAAGTTGTTGCCTTTATGAAATATGATAATCTTTTTTTAAATCGTGTAAATATTGATTGAACACCACTCTCTGTTATAAAATAGATAGTGTCTTGAGTAAAGTATATATTAGCTACTTTTAGATGTTGCCGCTTTATCGAATTTTAAATCAATTACAGGTGTAGTAAAGTAGTATATATGCAAATAGAATACATTTCTATATGTGTAGAGTATAGCAAATGCAACGGTTCTCAGATGCCTGAAGTTCCAGTGATAGACGAAGACCAATGATTTACACTCAGTAACCTACTGATTATTTTTAATCCGCAGCATTTATAGTACTAATTAAAATCGCGCATAGTAAATACATTTGTATACTAAAACGTAATTACAACCTTAGTTCGATGGTAACGAAGTAGATAATTATGCTGGATCAATTTATAAGCTTAAAAAAGAAGAAGTAGAGGAAGAAAGGAAAAAAGGACTTACCTTGCCGTAATCGAATCCGTGCTTAATTTTCTTGCCATTCATGTTGATGGAGTAATTGTAAAATTTGGAGTTCATAATGAGGCCGCCCCATTCCCTCCAGCCAGGCGGAATATAAGAGCCGTTATACTTATTCAAATATTTCCCGAAGTAGCCTGAAACAAAGCAAACAGCAAACGTGAGGAAGGTGCAACAAAATAAAAATGAAAACATTTAATTAAAAAGTGCACCGCGCAGAATTAGCCGGATACATGGCAATCAACAGTTGGCAGACGTGACTTAGTAACACCCTAAAGAAGACTTAATTCGCACTTGGCAGGTGTTAATAATGCTAGGTTCGGCGTGTGCAATTTTCTGCTACACGACTCTCGCAGGACATAACAGTGAATTCGTTGAAGAGTGGTTGGTCAGTCGGGGTGAAATTGAAATGATTTTCGTTTTTACGAGCGCTTGGCCATAAATTGTGGCCTCCCATGATATGATCCGTGTAATTAACCATTATCGCGTTCCCATTATCGTGTCTTGGGCGAGGAGGAAAGGAGAAAACTGGAAATCGCTGCTCGGCAGACCGACCAACGGACCAACGATTATCGCCAAACCGATGTCTACTCCAAAGAAAAAAAAGCCATTCTCCAACCAACTTGAAATCATCACCAGAATCGTCTACTAAGTATCATTCGGATAATAATGCAATTCGAATCGATTGAAAGGTAAAGCTTACGACTGTCGGAGAACGAGACAAACAACAATCGACAATCATATTGAATTGAATTATTGTTACTTGTCGGTACGTATATATTAGGTGTGTCTTCTGCATACATTCATAAGCCACATTTAATCGTGCGTACAAGTGGAGAGAATAAGAAGAATATGTAAGAAAGCAAATAGAAGAAAAAAAGGACAAATAACTCGTGCCGCAATGAATCGAAAACATGTTAGCCCCATTGTTGTCCAAATGCAATAGATTATAATGCAACAAATGCTACAATTTAATATCGACAGGAACTCAAACAATTACGTTCAATATTGAACGGATCAGAAAAAGCAGAAATCATCTCGCGTGACTTTCCCGAATCCAATAATATTTATATTATATTTATCCCCTTCCCCTATTTTCGTTACTCCTTTTGTCCGAGATTGTATTTTGTTTCCCTTTTCCTCTATGCGATCTAATAATAGATTGCTTCAGGGAAACACGGGAAACCTTTCAGGGATGAATGAAGGGAGCGAAGATTAGCTTCTCTACTACCCAACATTTTGCCTTTTCTCTATCCTAATCATCATCCGCTTTCCGTACACAGTCCGACCACTTGATTTGAATTAGAAATTATTCAAATGGGTCTTTAATCTCATGCAATCAATAAATTACGGCCTCGCCCACACATACAAATCTGTTTCAAATGAGGAATTCAAAGGTGGTGCAAAGTGCATCCGCCATTTGATGTAGCCCTGTTTCTCTGCATACGTAATCAGCTTAAGATCGATTTCTGGCAACGTGTATACTTTTTCTTTTGAAAAGCTGTGATCATCTTTAATTGTAATATCGACAAAACTTATTTAATTTTTTTTTGTGGATAGAATAAGAGATTAATATTTTTTAAATAGAAATACGTAAATCGGAATATTGTTTAGCGCATATGTTGATTGATTGATTAATAAATAAATCAATATTTTCAATTAAAAATATACAAGAAAAGTGTTAAAACAAAACAGGACATATTTTACTGGATTTGCTTATGAGTGACCATATAATCAAGGTATATTTTCTGCCGAATGGAAATACATAATAATTAATAAATACGGTTCAAACACAGCAAGATTAATGCCATATATAAAACATCTTAAATGTGTATATTATTACAATATTTATTATATCTAAATAATATTAGAAATAGGGCAGAAAAACCTATGGTCAATAGCCCTTTGTATCAGTTGACTTTTTTGAAATTATATATATTTATTATGTTATTTTTATTTCTGTATATGTTGTTTTGTAATGCTGATTTCCTTACATTTATTAATAATGAAGTTGAATGGTCTAAAGATTTTAGGATCGATATCTCTTTAAATGTGATTGCTGAGACTTTATATGTTCTATTTATAAAGGAAATACAGTAAAACCTCGTTTGCCTCAGTCTCGATTTACACTATAATGCGGTTTGCTGGTAACTTTAAAAAGCTCAAAATTTATCCGGATTCAAATTATTGATTTTGAAATGATTCGTATATATTACCGAGTGCAAAAGCAAGAAGAGGAGTTTTCGGTTCGATCGCCTTCGACAAAAGCGATAAATGCCTGCCTCAAGACGATTTTATTGTCAAAAAACAGAAATATCAGAAGAGCCAGGACCTTCATCACAACTTAATATTTCTGTGTTATATAAAGCATATATTATAATGGAAATTACTATAAATACAACTTAAAATTTGTTTATTTGTTTTATTAAATTACAATTAAATAAAGGTTTGGTACATATATTCTATAAATATATTCTTTACAATTGATTACAAATCAAACGATTGCATCGGTTTCTTGGCTTAGCGTTCGTTTGCGGATTAACCCTCATCAGGAACAAAAAAAAGAGTAGAAGTTTTGATTCGGGCAAATCACGTAATAAAACCGGTAAATAGTACGGTAGATCTCCGGTCCGAGGAATCGATTCTTCTTTATTTTCCACCATTGCAAGAAAGTGTATGTGTGTTTTTATTCTCTTTGTTAGAGAGCAAGAATGGAGGAAATCAAGCTTCCGCTTCTTGCAGAAAATTGGATTACGGACTTAACCCAATAATTCTGATAAACGATGTTTGTTTATTTTTTTGATTCTTGTTTGGGGAGTGAGTGAGTTAGTTTGTTAGTGGCGGAAGCAGTCTGGGTCTATAAAATAATTGAGAGGATGATGGTGTGCGCGAGCGTAGGTGGACGTAATTTCCTTTCGGTGCCCACGTGCCCCCTTTAACACGTGTCGTCTGGTCGGAATGGTATGGAAGAAGACAACAACGACGACCACATTGCGGACTTTAAACCGGCGAAATTTCACTATTACAACTCGTTACAGCCGCCACCGATTACCATAATCTCCACAAAACAAAACATTTGTCAACTTGTCATTATCTCGTTAATCTATTCAGTAATAACAGCTTCGGAACAACTTGTAATCCTGTTTCATCTTCATAGCCATCTCCATCTGCTCCTCTCTATCTGCTATAAACTATTCCACTTTAATAGAAATATTATTTAATTTACGGTCCGTGACATATTAATCAGTGGCTGGATAGTTTGAGTTTAGTGATTTCCTTGCAGCTCATTTATTGAATCATTACGAATGAAAGGAATAAATTGAAACTCTGTTCGCACACATCTATTTCCACTTGATTATCAGGCGTGAACTTAATGAAATGACATTACTCATTCCTACCTCAAACCGTGCGAAGCAACATGATAATCTCTCGTGGTCTATGCACTTCTTCGCTCGTGAATAACTAATTTAATAAAATTAAAATCATAAAGTTAGGTCGAGCAACGCCGCATTATACAGTTGTTATTATTATAGATTATATTACATCATTTCCTGTGCAATATATGATCTTGCATTCAGATAACTAAACTTTAATTATTAATTCTTATTAGGAAATGGATTTTCGCAATTAGTATTTTAATTATATCAACTTTTAATGTCATCAAAGACAAATTAATGCAATTTCATTTTGTATTATATAGTTAACAAGATTAATCTTTTAAATGGGCAGAACAGGTCAATATTTTATATGTCTGTAATTATTTATATAATTTCTCTTATATTAAAACTTATTTTATTTACATAGATTACAGAAAGCAGAAACATCTTTACCTTTCAATTAATAATCTCGATCAAACGATAACTTCCTCCCAACCTACATATAAATTTGGAACAGAAAAGAATGGGACGTTTCATTATTCAATTCGCGACAATTCTAAACTCCAATTGCCGGTAATTTTAGTATATAATTTAGATAATTTCATTTACGAATTTTTTTCCTGTTTGGTTGTAGCATTCATAGTAAGAGATAAACGTCATCGTACTAGATTTTATTGCAGTTAAAATGAATAATAAATTATAGAACCTTCCTTGAAATGTAAAAAACAAACCTTTGTTCGTGTTGACTACAGAAATAACCGTGTTTCATATATTGGAAACAACATGTTATTTTTAACAACAAGTGGGATTTATTTTCCCAAGTTAGGATTAAAATCCAAGAAGTTTCAAATTGCAAATAACGAGTAAAATATATTATTTATGTTAAATTTACTTGGATCTTTAAAATTGTGATATATTGCATGAGAATAATTACAGTTAAATAAGCGACTTTGTTCAAATTATTTACTTTTACTTATATAAAATCACTAAACGTAATTCATAAAAAACATTTCATTTAAATTTTTAAATAATTAAATGTTCAGTTTTGCTATTTTCAATAATTTATGTACATTATTAATTTTATTGTTAATTGTTTATTGTTACATGCTAATTTAAGTGTACATATTTTTTGTAGAATTATAAGGCCTAGCTAAAGGAAAAATAAATAAGTATTTTTAGTTGCTTTCCGGGTTATTTGAAAGTGACGGCAATTTCCGGTCTGGTATAAGCAAATTAAGGCCATTCCGAAAGTACAAAATTGAGCAACTTCAGCTGAGGTGAAAAGGGACATTCGTTGTCCCACATACATCATTAACAAAACCAATCTTATGATTCATGCTATTTATGTTTTTTAGTTTCTCATTTCATCCGGTGCTTTGAAGCGAAAAAGTTTGTAAAGTTGATTTACATTCGACCAAACCCAAGTTATGAAATATACTCTTTTTGTTTCAGGTCATAGCAACTTCCATAATACACTTAAATTAAAAACACAGTACTCGTCATTTTCTATTAGTCCATTATGCACTTCCTCTCGGGCAATGCTGTAAGTTGATATCCCGAGATTACTACTCACAGTGCATTCTTTTCTCATTAATCTTTATCTTTATTACGCTACTCCTGTTACTGAAAGTAGTGGAAAGCAGTGTTTCTCATTAGTTTTAAAAAATTCAAACTCTACATCGCATAAAATGTGCACGAAAATTGAAAACGCTTTTAATTCAATAAATTTTTGTATGGAAACAGCAGTTTTTGAAAATTTT